ATAGGGACAGTTTTCTTGAGGTCACCACCTCCTGTGCATGGTGTATGGTATTAAATGTCATGCAGAATTGGACTCGCTTACACTTAAAGCAAGTCACCTAAAAGTGATCACACGTGTGGCCAAGGAGAGCAGAGTTAGGGAGGGAAAGAGACTTCTTTTACTTGTAGCTGGAGACCGAGTTTGCCCTGTCATCCTAAAGGATGGTGTTGCTTTGCCTCTGTGACAGGGATTTATGTTACCTTTCTTTGCTCTTTCCTAGGTCCCTTCATCAGGTAGGTAGACTTCCCAGACCTTTATCCGCACCTGCTTTTGACTTTATTCCTGATCTTTATCAGATTGAATCTCTGGGGTTGTCACACTCAGAAAAGAATATTGCAGGCATTCTGGCTGTATCACAGATTCTTAGGTGCAGAGTTCACTCTGAGTCATAGAAGCCCTCATATTTACAGTTATCTTTTTCAATTTGAAGACAAGTTTTGGAATTCAGATATAGCCATTTGAAGTACTAAGGACTTCTCAGAACAATTTGGGGTCATTCTTGCACTCTGTAAACATGCCTTTCTATTTATGGGAATAAGAGAATTTGTTCATTTCTGTACATTTTGAAGGCCTGCCATATATGACAGGTACTGGGTGAGGTGTTGGGAATACAAAGATAAGTCATATAAACCCCATGCTCTCAGAACTGGGCAACACTTTAGTCGGGGAGGTGCACACCACAAAAATTTGTGATGGAATATGAGGTGTGCTTCTTGTAGAGATATGGATGACATATAACACTATGTTTGGAGAATTTGTAAACTTACTTAAATCTTTACACTGAGTTAGACTGTGAGTGAATTTATCAGATGAGACACACATAAATATTATTTATTTACCCCAAGGTAATAATTAGAAAAGTTGAACAGAATTAACTATCTATTATAATCAATGGCCCCAGCAAGGTCAGTGCTCGTGTACCACTCTTGTTCCTGCACAGTCTTTGTGTTTGGGTCATTAACATTGTGTTTAGGTCAGATGAGAGTGTGTTCCACCTGCCACGCTTTGATAACTCAAGTAAAGTGCTGATGGAGATTGTTTAAGATCATCTCTGTGCTGTTGATTGCATGCTTGTGGCTCATAATCAGGATGATGCAAAGTAATTGTTAGACCGACTTGCCAAGGCTACATTTTGTGTCGTTGCAACTGTCAGCAATTCGGTCCTGCTGTTCTGCGTAAAGAATGTTTTTGCCTGGCACCTGTGGGGTAGCTAAAGCACAGCCTGCCACTTTATGTCATGAGTAACTTCCATTCCAGTGTCCTTGCTTGCTGTCTCCATAAAACAACCTAAAAATGGAGTATCTGCTCAGGATTGCAAGCGCTTGTTTTTGTGTTTGATTGAATACTACGTTTTGCAGCCTTCTATGAAAGTCCACCTGTGTGTTGCCAGAGTGGTCATGTCTTTTCTCTGTGCCATGAAACCCAGACAAATCTAGCTTTGAATTTTTGCTCTCTTGCATACTGGCTATGTGACCTTGGATAGGTTTCTGGTCTTGAACCTTGTTTTTGTCATCTCTGCAATGGAGCTAGTAGGAACCTCTCTTACAGAGATTGTGTGAGGATAGAGCTAATAGATAAAAACTTGTCAGCACAGAACATCCACTCAGTAAAGGGTGGCAGCTAATATTAAGGAGGGCAGGGTCTTCTCAGGATGACGCTATATAATGGCAAGGTAAAATTTTCCAAAGTTGGTAGTCCAGAAATGTATTGTAAGCGTGAGCTCTATGGTATCAGCCCAAGTTTTCCCGGCTAGGTCATATTTGCTAGAGTCACACAATTGGATGAGGACATTTGAATCTAAACCACAGTTCTCTGTGGTTAGGTCTGCTATGCAGGATGTGTTCTGGGCCATCATATACACATCATCAAAGGATATGAAGGTCCCTTTGAAAACAAATTTAAGAATGTGTACCATTTAGCTTCGACTGCCTAAAAGAGATGTTACAGAGCACACAGCACAGCCTGACCATCTGGTTCTCTATCATGGAAAAAGCAATGACCACATTAGAAGTTCACTGTTAGATCTAGAGACATCTATCTCACTGGCTTCTGAATTGTACCATTAAAAGAGATCTGTTTAAAGTAGCTCAGTCTATATTCCATGATACAGTGAAGTCTCTAGGGTGAATTGTCAAATAGATGCTTTCTCTGACTCCATCCAGTGCAAAAATGTAAGGTCTGTGTTAGCATCTAAACTGTGGTTTAGATTCTAATGTCTAAGGTCTGTGTTCTTGTCTCCTAATGTTGATTCTCTCACATGGTCAAAATAGAGCAGTAGAGTATCTTCTAAGAGCATGACCCCCACCACAAATCATCACTTCCCCTAAAAATTGCGTAAGCTGGATCCGGGATGAACTTTTAGGGAAACTTTAGTTGGATGGTAGTAGGCAAAGGGGTTAGCACCTGCTCATTCATTGTAGATGCTGGTTTCACCGATTTCAGGGTTTCTCCACTTTTGGTTCCTGAGGGATTTTCCAGCTGATACCAGATTTGGCATTTCTCTGCTGGCACCGTGTGTCCTTTCTTTCTTTCTCTGCTCCTCCCTGCCAGCCCCCCACCTCCTTCCTGCTGGTAGGAGCAGTATTGGCAGTACTGAGACAGGGTTACTTACTTCGTTACCGCAGGAGGAATTGGCCCCACACTCTGGGGATACATAGGTTCACTCCCTAAGCCTCCCCGCCAAAAGTGGTATTTTCCTGAAATGTCACTAGTCAATCATATTTATAGGGATGTGGCATAATTTTCTCAATTGAGGACAAGAATATGTCATGTAACTCCTGCGCAGTGTCACGTATGTTTTACCGAATCACCGTTCTCCTTGAGAAGGAAATTAAATTAGAAATACTGAGATAGCACAAACATTTCAACCCTTGATACCTCCTAAATATGATGAATTCTGGGTTTTTTTTAGGTTTTGAAGTTTATATAATGTAGTTATAGTTTTTTAGGGTCACTCAAGAGTCTAGAGTGTTCAGTTTACCTTTTTCTGTATCGTTAAGTAACTTCACTGTGATCGCACTGAAATCAGGGACATGTCTTTAACAGATGTATGATTTCATACTTACAGTAGGCATCTCTCTCCATTAGCCGTAGTCTTTAAAATGTTGTTCCCTTTCAGTATACTGGAAATCCACTGAATGTTGTGGTTTATGATACTATTCCCCGTGGTGTAAGCACTACTTTATATTCTTGTAAGCTACACCCACTCAAACCAAAACAACTTTTTGTTGTTAAAAGACTTCTTATATTTATACACTCTGCCTTTCTCAGTCTTGACAAAAATGTAGAAGAGAAAGAACCACATGCTACCACACATGTAGTCATTTCTCATAAATGTGGGACACTTTGGTAGATTCAGCAATATGTTTGATATTTAGTGGTTCATTCTTTCAATGCAATACTCTTGCAGTCCTTAAAAATTACGATGGAAATGGGCTTATTGATACTGAAAGTGAAATATTATCAGACTGTAAAACCATATGAATATGCTAAGAGTATGTCATGAATAAATCATATGCATGTATATGAATTTCTTTATGTGAGTGTATGTGTAATACACTCTGTGTATTTGAGCATAGGAGAGAGCCCGGAGCCACAGAAACCGAAATATTTGCAGTGATTATTAGCAGTTATCTGTTAACTCATTGTTCACAGTCAACACATTTGTCTCATCTAAGGTGGGTGGTGACAAAGGGAATACAATACAGGTACTCACATTTTGTACCACAGGGCATTAAAGCTGACCTGTTATTTGGTGTAGGTATTATTTTGGCCATTATGCAAATGAGAAAGGGGTTCAGAGAGTTATGTAACCTCGGTCACACAGCTGAATTCAGTTTTTATTGTTGTTATGATGCCTACTGTAGACAGCTTGCTGCCTCTAGGATGAAGGTTAAGGTTAAACAGAAGGCACTCAGAGATCTTCCCAGCCTAGCGTCTTTCAGGGCTTGTATTGTAAAGTTAGGGTCTGAACCTCCCCAGAGGCGGAATCGTACTGTCAGGTACCCTCACCTCCCCTCACGCAGCCTGCAGGGTAGTAGGTGGGCTGCCCTTTGTGACCTTGAGGCGTGCCTCTCACATCCTGAGAAACTGAGTCAGGGAATCTGCCTGTGGTGCACATACTGAGGAGGCCCCAGCTCGCCCCACCGGCCTCACCCTCTTCTCCTTTTAGGGAAATGCTCTGGGATAGCATGAAGTTTGCCAGTCTCAGGGTAAGATTAGCTCGGCCTCACGTCCCCTCCTAGACCTGCAAAGGCCTCTTTAAAACAGTCTCTGGAAACTTTTTAAACTTGGATTTTGAGCTTGGTTCCTTACATGATGTAGATTAAACAGTCTATTGCTGTGCTCCTTTATCTGCCTCCGTCTTTCAGGCTTCCTCCTCCAACACTCAGAACATCTCGGTTCTTTCACACACTGCACCCCAGACCCTAAGGCCTCCTCTTGGAATTACTCAGTCGGGCTGATATGTGGCCCCTGTGCGCCTCTGCCCAGTCCACATTCCCATCTGAGCCATGTGGGGTCCCTGTCCCCGGTGGGGGGTGATGGGGTTGTGGGGGTACCATCTGCAGGTGGGAAAGATGTGCGGGGCAAGGGCAAGGACTGGAGTGAGCACCCTGCTTACTTCTCAGGACATCTGCAGCTCACCGCAATGGTGGGAGTGCAGACCAGACAGTCCACCTGGGAACTGATTTCCCGTGCAACGCCATATACATCCCTCTGTCAGAAGGTCCACACGCTTCGTGATAAAGGAATCATGCACTTGATCATTTTCTACATACTGATTGTTCAGAGCTCCATTATTGTAATTCACGTGGCCAGCCAGACTGCACCGAGGGGTCTCCAGACTTCTGCTGCCACCTGGTCAGGACCAAGGTGCCACGCCTGAGGTTTCTTGTCTTGCCAGGTGCTGATTTATAGAATGGACTTAATGCTGTTTCTTAAAAAATCTTTTTCTTTTCTAGTTTTCCAAAGAAATTAGTCCATTTTCTTGGTGAAGAGAAACCAGCCTGCTGTTTTCATAGGGTGAGTGTTCTTTATGTTTTTACCCACATCAGAATTTTTCCCAATTATTGTGATGCTCCAAGAAAAAGGGCTTGATAGCATGCGTCCTCCAGATGTTTTCTCCCATGTGGAACCAAGATGTTCTTTCTATTTATCAAATCTCCTCTCCCCTTTCAGAGGGGAAGGCTTCCCTCTCGTATGTTTCTGCATCGCTTTTTGCTTCTTATTTTGCCTCTTATGAGTTGTTTCCATTGTTGCTAATACCTTGTCTAGCTTGCAGAGAGGATGATGGGGAAGTTTCTTTTTTGCAGTGACTTATGCACAGAAATATGGCTGTGGGCAAGGAGAAACCATCCGTTTTGTTCCCACAATGCAGTTTCATGAACACTGTGACAGAGAATAATAGGATGTGGGCATGAGATGGGACCTTAGAGCTCATCAGGCAAAGCCCCTATGAGGCAGCTGAGGCTCAGAGGGTGTCACATCCCATCTGGGAGCTTCTGAGACAGCAGCAGGGCAGTGGAGAGGCATTTGATTCCCAGTTGCACAGTGGTCTCCCCTCCGACCCCTGAGCTCCACCCTGCACAGATCTGTCCTCGGCTTGTAGCTCCTTCTGTGGATACATAGCTATACAGGTGGTTCGACCTGATGTAATACCAATAAACAGTGATAACAGCTCTCTAAGGCAGGTGTCAGGGGTGACGCTGTTTAGCTGTTTAACTTTCTAGTAATCATACCTGGCTACTACTAAAAGAGGCTGGTAGAGTGGATGTACCCAGAACAGTTCTGTGTGGACCTTGGCTGAGGGCGCATATTTTCCTCTGCACCCTTCCTCAGCCCCTGCATGTGCAACACCACGTCCTGTGCGGAGACTTGGTGGTATATCTGCTTTGCAGGCAGAGGCCTTAGCACACCGGCAGACGTGCCCTGGCAGCTGCAAGCCTGCATGCCCCCTCTCGGCGCCATCGGCACCTGCCTAGTAATGCCTGCCAGGCTTCGTAAATGCACTACCACTTTGGCCTGTGGTCTGGAGACCTTTGGAGAAACATTTCTTCATTAGAAAAAAAGTTGTACTCTTCTTTACATGAGAGCGCCCTTGTGGAGTATGATGGCAAGAGGTACGAGAAGGTGATACTCCCCCCGACCCAGAGAGTGGACTTACCACAGGTCTTTTGAGGATCCCTGTGCTCCATCTGCTTCTGGCTCGTGTCTTTTAGGTTGGTGGGCTAAGTGCTCTTATTTCCAGAACATTCATCTCACCCAGGATTTGGTCTAAGTGGAGCATTGAGAGCCTGTGTCCATTATTTATTCCCACTTGTTATCTTAATACTTTATCTTAACAAATGGGAGCCTCCCTTCTGCCCTACCTGGAGTCATTATTAAGGATCATCATATACTCCTTACCAGGGTATAGAGAGTCTACCAGGATACTAAGTGGCATTTAGAACATGGAGTTGATTCACTGAAGGATCACCTGCTTATTACTCTAATATTGATCTCTCCTGTCCCCAGATGCTCGGCAGGCATGGATGTGCATTCATTAGAAGCGTGAATGAGAGGGTTTCCATTTCCTCATCTTATCCACGAGAAGCCCAAAAGGTTTATCCCCAGAGCACACTACCATATAATTCTGTGACACTGAGATCTACTGCTCTCTGAGGAATTTAAGGGTCTCTGTGGAATCAAGAGGTTGGTAAGACCAAACTAGAGGACAATTGAGGGCCTTAAGAAGGTGGGGCAGTGCTGGGCTCCATACCAACTGTGCTATTCTTTCAGTAAAGAATGAACCTGTGGAGGGGGCTGAGGCCATAAATGGTAAGGGGATAAGACAAGGATCACCGGAACACACGTTGATCACTTCCTGGCTGCCTCACTTTCCTGCTGGGGCCATAAGTGGTTTGAAGTTGACCGTCAGGAAGCGTCAAGTTACTACCCCAAATATTACAAAACTTAGCTTTTACCAGTTGGAGGGAAACCAAAGCCATGAGTTTATGACTTCAAAAGCAGCTCAGAGGCTTGTACCACACCTCAGGTTTGTACCGTGTAGGTCCACATGCCCACATGCATGAACTTCTTGTATAACATGAGTCGCCTGGCTCCATTTCATGGTATGCAGTGGCGCTGGCCCCCTGCTGTTGTTGCTAAGCTCAAACAGAGCTCACCACTGATGATATCCCTTTAAGGGAAATCTAGGGAAATGCTCTTGCCAGCGCAGCAATTTTATTTGCTGGAGGCCAAGTAGCAATAGCATGTATTGGTTCCATAGCAACATGTCTGCACAGCCAGAAAAAATATAATGACTATGGCAGCCAGTATATCCTGGGCAGGGTGAGCACAGCCCTGATGCTTCATTTCATTTTCCACCGTATCTTAGCTTGCCTTCCCCTCCTGTAGAGATGGTGGACTTTGTGATTGTTACTGTCTATCCTGGCTTTTAACACCTGCCTCCCATCCCTGCCGAGCTCGGGACTTGATGAGGGAGAAGGCAGTGCCTGTAGTGGAATCGTGCAGGCCCGATGGTGCAGCAGAGCCAACGGAGCCCCTCTCCCTTAGCAAATGGATGTGGGTGGGGTCTGTGCTTTTCATCTTCCCGTGGGGAGGCGGCCCCATCAGAATGGTGTGGTGCGTAGAGCGTTTCCTGTGCACTGTGGCCAGCTGCTCCTGGATGGCAAGCGGACAGAGAAATACGGCAGTGTGAAATCGAGGGAAACAGAGTGCCCATTTAATGCGCTACACAGACCGACTAGGGTGGAGAGCAGTGCTAGGCAGAGGAGGGCTGCACAGAAACGTGTAATGCACACTGCACATCTTCTGGAGGCTTCTACCAGAGGTGCAGTTTCTAACTGCAGTTTCCCAGTATATGTAGTTGAGCTTTAACATTTCCCTAATGTTTTCTTCTCCATAAAATCCTCCAGAAAACCGCTGTAATTGTTCTTGATTTCAATGATGCTTTTTTTCTCTGAACTGAGGCGTCTAAAAAAAATCTCTGCCATCTATTTGACACTTGTCTCATATTTCCTTTTTTGATACATACGCTTTGCGGGCCTGAGCAGTCTTTCTGCATAGAGGCAAAGGCCTGAAAGGTCAGTAACCATCTATCTCATTCCTCGCCTCTTCGTTTGTATCTCCCTAATGGTCAGGACTGAGCCCTGTAGATCGTAACCGTGCCATTAATTTCTTCATGACAGTGTTTTAGTCCTATCCTGTCTCATAAGGAAGTTGTAAAGCAAGTGTGTAAATATATTGAAAATGCTTTTCAGTTCTTCAGAGAAAAGATAAATTCAGGAAATTCTTTTTCTAACATGGTTTCTAAAAACACATAGATAGGAAATCACAAGGTAAGAATATCTAAAGACCTCACATTTTCTCGTCTTCCTCTTTGTGGCTACCGACCATGAACTGTGTCCCCTAGAGTTTTGCACTGGCCCTGAAATCATCCCTTTCTCACCCAACCCCCCGATAGTTGCTACTTCTGCTGAATGTCCCTTACTGTGCCTCATGAGCCAGAAGGCTCACCAGACCCCTGACAATGCCTTTGGAGCTGTTAAGTAAAAGATGTGGAGGATTTCTCATTATGTGACAGATTTGATAGATTGGGATAGTGGTTCCTAACTTAGTTTTGACGTCTGTTGTAGAGGGAAGGTTTTTATCATATAAAAACTTATATACTTTTCTTCCCAAGTTCAGAGCCAACTGAGAAATAAGACAAACATAATAAGGCAGATGGAGGCCGCAGCACACCTGTGTGACCAGTAACAGTAACTGAGGCAGAAGTTGTATGTTAGACTGAGAGCCCAAAACAAGGGCCCCCGCTAACAGCCCACCTGGGGGAAAGCTCTGAGTCCTCGGGCCACTGTCTGTGTGAAGATGGAAGGAGTAAGGGACTAAAATCCACTGCCCTGCTCCGTGCTCAAAATTTTAACTGTATCTAGTGGTAAATGAGCTCTTACCCAGTAGAGTGAGAGCCCAGGCAGGTTTAGGGAGACTCCTCTGCCCAGGAATCGGGTGGGGAATGGCATTTCGCTCCACCTCGCACTGTCTATAATGTGTTACTCTGTGTCACTATAGCCCATGTACCATTGTTTTCTTCCCAGCTCTTCAGTTTATATATTTGTTTCATGGTATATTGTTAGTCTCCTCTGTTAGAATGTTAGTTCAGCAGTAACATTTATAGCTGTTTGCCAGTACTTAAAAGTGTGCCAAGCACATAGGAGGCATTTCACAAATATTTGTTGAATGAGTAAATGTTGCTTCATGCCTCTTCTCACACTCCTTCATTCACTGGCCCTGAAATCATCCCTTTCTCACCCAACCCCCCGATAGTTGCTACTTCTGCTGAATGTCCCTTACTGTGCCTCATGAGCCAGAAGGCTCACCAGACCCCTGACAATGCCTTTGGAGCTGTTAAGTAAAAGATGTGGAGGATTTCTCATTATGTGACAGATTTGATAGATTGGGATAGTGGTTCCTAACTTAGTTTTGACGTCTGTTGTAGAGGGAAGGTTTTTATCATATAAAAACTTATATACTTTTCTTCCCAAGTTCAGAGCCAACTGAGAAATAAGACAAACATAATAAGGCAGATGGAGGCCGCAGCACACCTGTGTGACCAGTAACAGTAACTGAGGCAGAAGTTGTATGTTAGACTGAGAGCCCAAAACAAGGGCCCCCGCTAACAGCCCACCTGGGGGAAAGCTCTGAGTCCTCGGGCCACTGTCTGTGTGAAGATGGAAGGAGTAAGGGACTAAAATCCACTGCCCTGCTCCGTGCTCAAAATTTTAACTGTATCTAGTGGTAAATGAGCTCTTACCCAGTAGAGTGAGAGCCCAGGCAGGTTTAGGGAGACTCCTCTGCCCAGGAATCGGGTGGGGAATGGCATTTCGCTCCACCTCGCACTGTCTATAATGTGTTACTCTGTGTCACTATAGCCCATGTACCATTGTTTTCTTCCCAGCTCTTCAGTTTATATATTTGTTTCATGGTTTATTGTTAGTCTCCTCTGTTAGAATGTTAGTTCAGCA